TCGAGCAGCGGGCCAGGGTGGGGGGGCCGGGGGCGGCTTCTGAGCGGCTTCGGGCTCCGGGTGTCCGAGATTCGTTCCCATGGGAAGTCGTGAGCTTCCGCCGCCGAAGGAGGCGGCGCCGGCCCGCATCTCGGGGAGGGCACCTCCCCCGATCCACGGATGAGGCGACCGCGCGCCAGATCCATGGATCGCTGATCCGTGCTTGCGCGCCCCCGATCCTCCTCCTCCTCCTCCAGCTGCTCCTCCTCCTCCTCCTCGTCCTCGTCCTCCTCCTCTCCCTCCCTCCTCTCCCTCCCTCCCTCCTCCTCCTCCTCCTCCCTAGCTGCTCGAGGGGATCCCCGCCCTTACCGCAGCATCCACCCGTCGACCGAACCCCTCCTCCTCCTCGCGCGCATAGCCGCCAGGAGATAGCGCCTGGGATGCTGGCGCGGGCTGCGGGGGCGCCCAGCAGACCCGCGGCGAAGTTGGCAGCACTTCGCATCATACTCTACAACCCGCTGTCGCTGGTGGAGCCCCAGAGGATCAGGGACGTCTGGGAGACCTTGAGGGCGGACATCGTGGTTCTACCAGGGACCAGACTGAGGGCCAGCACGGGGACTCCAATTACCAGAATGTCTTTGGGGAAAGGGGCCATGGCGCTCCATGCAGGCTGGACACAAGGCCCCTATACTAACAAGCACGCGGGCTGCACGATCATGTTCGGGGGCATGTTCAAGGCTAAGCATCTTCGGGCGATCACAACACCACCGTCAGCTCTTCAAGGTAGGGGACTGGCGGTAAGATTACGAAACCAAAGCATGGACATCAGCATCATAGCAACATACATGCCGCCTCTGAGTGATGAATCTGCAAAGAAACGACGGGCCCTCGAGAAGGGCTCGACGCAGTTGCTCCAGTGGGCCATCAGAGAGCTCAAGGCTGTTCCGTCACGTTCTACACCGATTCTCTTGGGGGACTTCAACACTCACATGGGCCTCAGAGGTGGTTTCCCGACGGTTGCCCCAACATCTTCATATGACTGGTGGGACGACGAGCGGCTCCTGGCGGGGCCATTCAACACGGGCGAGCAAAACATAGTAGGTAATATGATTCAGGACGAGATCCTGGCACCCATGGAGATGTATGATGCCGTCACAGCAGACAGATTTGCGGGGCCTACATGTTACGGGAACAAACAGAACAGCAGCACAATCGATCACATCTTCGTGCCGATGGCGGCCAGAGAGCAGATCCTTTCTTGCCGAATAATGTGGCCACAGGCGCGGAAGTTACAGATGATACCGAGCCGTGCACCACGAGATCATGTGCCAATTCTATTACGCCTGACGGTATATCGAGGATATGAGGACCAATCACATGCTTTTTCCAGATGGGATCGGGACAAGTTGGCGGCGGCTGTGCAGCGGGGCCAAGGCCGAGAACACTTCATGGAGGCGCTCGAGACGACGATGCAGCTCATCCTTCCACAGATCTCACCCCTGGCCCAGTCGGGCCATGTTGATGCGGCGTGGAGACTATGGACGGATGCAGTGGCGGAGATTGGCTTGAGTCACTTCCAGCGCGAGAAAACACTTCCCGACCCAGAACTGACAGCTTTACGTCAACGGAGACTGGAGCTGGTGCGCAGACGACGGCTACTTCGAGAGGGTTTGCAGCTAGCCGATTCACATCTTTCAGTTTCTTCAGAGATGCAGGCACAACCGGCGTTAGAGCGCAAATCCTGGGAGCCCGTGGGGCTCCCAGGTTCACTGTCGCCGACCTCCAGGGCACCCTTTCCGCAGGAGGCGAGGGCAACAGCGAGCGGGGTGTTTTGTCGGATCAGAAATCAAGATGGCTTAGATACGAGTACTCAGATTTCAGAGTTGTTCGACATGCCAGAGGTAACTTGCAGCAGAGCAGGAGCCAGTACATCGAGTTCACAACCGACAGGTGCTACGACCAGAGAAGAGGGCGCATCGCATCAGAGGCCCTTGAGGAGTATTTCTGCCATTCAGAGTGCGACCGAGGTGGACCCAGAACTTCAGGAGTTACATGAGATCAAGATTCGTCTTCGACAAGAGACACGTGCACATTGGATCCGCACGCGCCGAAGGCTGGAGAATGAGATTGAGGAGGCCAACAGAGCTAGGCGACATGCAGAAGTGCATAAGCTACTATTCCTGCTGGCCGCTAAGCAAGGAGGCCCACGACGGCGAAGGTACAACCTACCGCAGACCTACGAGACGAAGGAGGAGTGGACGGCACAGCTCAGCCTCTCTGCCGCGGGGGGAGGTATGGAGGCCGTACCATTGGACGTGGAGCGGATGCTACGACACTTCGATCAACCACCACCACTTCCAGGAGAGGAGGAGCAGGAACGACATGCGTTCTTTGGACAGAGAGATTTCCAGATGACACTTCGGCAGTTGCGCAAGAGCCAGAAACGGAGGGCGGCACCTCCGTGGAGTTTCCCCGTCGAGCTGCACCTAATGGCCGCAGACCCCAAGTACCTCTCCGTGGGCCCTGAGGAGCACTTAGGAATTGGATGCACGCCGATAGGGGAGACGAGTATGACGACATCAGCACGCATACTGGAAGATATACATATCGCATGCCGCACGATAGGACGTACTCCGATCTTGGGGAACCTCGCTTGGGCCATACCTATTGCTAAGTTTAACGGCAAGGTCGGTACATTATCCAAACGTCTCATCAACGTGATGTGTCCGTACTGGAAGGGCTTCTACGGGGGCCCGCTGAAAAAAAACATGCACGCCCAGGGAGTTCGTTGGCCAGCGGAGTTTCATGGGTTCCTTCCTCGTCGTCGTCGGGAGGATGCGATCGCCGTGCAGCTCTGTATGGGATTTAGATATCGCACGCAGCGCATACCACGCCTGAATAACCTGCACGATATGACGAACGCGTTCGCCTCCACGACAGCACGAGCACGTAGACAGGCAATAAATAAGCTTTTCGGACACGCGGATGCACAACTCATGCACACTCGTTCGGAGACCTCTGGACTCATCATGATTTTCGAAGAGAGCCTGGAAGACCCCTGGAGGAACCCGAGGAACTTAGCTGCACGACACCGCCGAGGGGGACTCATGGGATCTAGTGAAGAGCCGGTAGTCTTTGCGAAGGCGATGGAGCAGCCGATGCGCCAGTGGATCGACCAGCGTGCGACGGCTTCGGAGGTCAAGACTCTCAGATGTGGGATCTTTGGGGGGACCTGTTGTGGGGCGACAACGGTTTACGCCGACGACATTTTTGATAAGATACCCGTGGACGACACGACCCCCGAAACGATCAAGACGACCTTAGAAACCAGCGACAGGTTATTGGATGAGGAGTTGGAGGAGGTGGGTCTGATTCAGAACTATAGCAAGAGAGAAACGGTCCCGAGCCTCAGAAGCCATCGTGCGAACAAGTTTTTTTCGCAGGAGTTCGAGGGGGGCAAAGCTCTTCCTCGCGCCAGGTATCTCGGTAGCCGCTACGCGTGGAATCTGTCAAGCATGGAGGAGTTCAGGTACCGCAGCGCTGCGGTCCACGCTGGGTGGGGGAAGATGGGGAAACTGTGGACGAGCAGAATTTCCAGGAGCCTCAAGAGGATGGCCTTTAGGGGCCATGTGGTGGAAGCGGCATTATCCGCAAATGAGCCGTATGTTTTTTCGACCTCTCAGACTCAACAGCTGGACGCCCTGATATATAAATACCTACGGGTCCTGGAGAGGGGGCGGGCAACGGAATGGGAAGGCGAACGCCCACACACCCTCCCCAGTTCGGTGCTTCGCCGAAAGTGGCGACTGATGCCGATACGTTTCGAGCAGGCGGCCAGGCGATTCGGCTGGGTGCAGCAGATGGCCAAGGACGCTGTCTCGCACCGCCAGGTGATCGCAGCGATATGGGGTGCACTACAGAGTGGACCCGAGAGCTTGGATGCAGACGGCAAGCTCACGAAGTCCGCGCCTCCGATCGCCACGCATATTGAAAAATATGTCTGGACCTATGCTCGCATCAGCGGCTCAGAGGACTTCTTCGAGTCTTGGGAGAGGTGGGGATATTCTTGGAAGGCTTTATTTTTGGAGGAGGAGGTGAGGGAGTACTTTCTGAAGGTAGATGCTAAGTTATTACGAGCAGCTGTTCTGCGCGATGGGGAGGAGCTTTTTATATCTCGACTTAGAGGACCCGCACAGGCACTTAGAGAATAATATGGGCCCCTGGAGGAACCTGGTAGACACGTCTGCACGCTTAAAGACGAGCACGACAACATATGTTCACAAGTATTTGATACACGTAGCGCCCTGTTTGCACACCAGTCTAGATCGAGGGGAGGAGAGCACGGCCGATTAAATCCGCTGTTTTCGTCGGTGATTTCCAATGTTTGCCCGTGGTGCCGCAGTTGTTTCTCGACCAGGGATAGCGCTCGACAACACGTTCGGACGGCCTGGCTTAATAATCGATGTCGACTCCAGAGGACGGCCTTCGCGTGGGCCCCGATAACCCCGAAATCATGCACATGCCCTATGTGTGGAGAGGAACACGACACTCTAGATGATTTTTTGGACCATGCAGTTGAGCAGCATTTACCTCCCCCGCCCGTCGCCATTCTGCCCAGAGCTCCGAGGGTCAGGCTGACGGCCACAGCGCGCCCCAGAGCGGTCCGACGTGAGCGCCATGCTGACGCTCAGCGGCGAGGTCGGGGGGGAGAAGAACGAGCGACAGCAGCGCCGCCGCACCGAGGACCAGCAGAAGGTGGCCAAGACCGCCGCCGGCTACAACGCCGCCAACAAGACGCTCATGGTGCTCATCATGAAGATGATCATGCAGTTGGCGCAGTCGCGCCGCACGGTGGAGGGGATCCTATTCGACGTCGTGCTGGTGCCTCACGACATGCCAGAGGTAACTCGCATGGCAGAGCAAGGAGCCAAGTACAACGAGCAGGTCCAGGCCAAGGGCAAGGGCCACAGCCTCGGCGCGCCTCATCTGTACGTGTTCGGGGGCCTGCTGGAGGCGCTGATAAATCGGCAGGAGAGCATCGGCAAGGCGAACCTGGCGAAGCTGCAGGAGATGAAGGGACGCTTGAGCACGATGGACTACGCCGACCGCATGGACATCATCAAGTTCACCAAGCTCGACAGGTGCTACGACCAGACGAAGAGGCGCATCACTTTGTGCCTGGGCGACGGCCGCAAAGAGGTGATCGGAGCGCTGGTCCAGCTTGGGGGGGGGCTCAAGTCGGGGAGGGCGCCAGCGACACACATGGAGCGCGAGATGCAGGAGTGGCTAGAGACGTTCCTGGCCTAGATACGAGTGCTACTCAGATTTCAGCGTTGCTCACGGAGACCGAGAGAACGACACGTCCCCGTCTTGAATCAGTGGTGGATTCAAGCAATGCAGTCTCGACGGCTACTCCGAGAGCAACACATATCGATTCACATCTTTCAGTTTCTTCAGAGCATCAACAGCAGATTGATTCACAGCTTGCAGTGTCGTCAGAGACACGCGAGCCAAGCAGGGAGGCCCAGGCCGCAGCATACAAACCTCTGAGTATGTGGAAAGAGAGAATGACGGCATCGTCATCATCTCGTTCTATCCCACCTCCATCGCCATCCTGTTCCTCCAGATCCCCGTGGACCCTGAGGCCCTTGAGGAGTATTTCGCCGACCCCGAGGATTGCGCCCATGAGTCCTCAGAGGTTATCTTCTGCATCCCAGAGGCCCTTGAGGAGTATTTCGCCGACGGCGCCGATTGCCCCCAGGAGTCCACAGATGATATCTTCAGGTTCGCAGAGGCCCTTGAGGAGTATTTCTACGCCCCCAACGATTGCCCCCAGGAGTTCCAGTAGTTTTTTAGGCCCGATGGAAGTAGGAGAGGAGGTGAGAAAGGCGACGGATAGGTACATTCAGAGGCATGGGGGGGAGGCTGAAATCGGTCTGACCCTTCCCCAGAAATTAGCTGTGGAAAGATTTTTGTCGGCCCAGGGAATCCCCAGGGACTCGGCGCGTTGGGGGGCCCTGTTTAGGAGCAGGCATGTTCAGGCTATGGCTCAGCGAATAGGGTGAGGTGTTTTTTGGCCGTGGGTCTGGACGCGGGTAACTCGTACTCGCGTTTGGAGCCTCGGGCAGTGGGCCAGTTTACGGTCTAGCCTTGGGGCTAGTGTCCCAGGCGTTTTGGATCCGTTTTAAGGATAGTCTCTGGGCCTTTTGAATCTCCCCCGTAGGTGGACGAACCTGGCCCCAACGGAGTGTTTCTTCTTCTTCTTCCTCCTCCTCCCTCCCTCCCTCCCTCCCTCCCTCCCTCCCTCCCTCCTATCCCTCCCCCCCTCCCTCCCTCCCTCCCTCCCTCCTATCCCTCCCTCCCTCCCTCGAGTTTGAGCATGCCACCAACATAGCCGCCAAGCTGCGTACACAGTCGTGGAACCAGTGGTGCGACGAGGCCTTGAAAGGCTCAGCTAAGCTTATGCATAAAATCACTCGGCTTAAGCAGATCTGGAACCCCAGCATCGTTGAGCGCTCTCCGGGTGTATTTTCGAGTCGGCCTGATGATCTTCTTGCCAGTGAGGCGGAGGCGCTGCAGGCACAGTGGCATGCATCGATTTCTCCACCTGTGGCTGAAGTACCTGATCGTGAGTGTTTTCCGCGGGCTTCGATTGATGAGATCCGCAGTGCATCCAGAAAGTTTTGTCAGTTCACGGCGTCGACTTTGGATGGGTTCCATCCGAAGCACATCTGCCTGCTGGGAGATGCTGGCATATCCACCCTTGGTGTTCTGTACGAAGCGGTGGAAAGGCTTGGGCTCTTCCCGCGGCATTTTAGGTGGATGGTTTTTTCCGCTTATAGATAAGCCTGCAGGGGGGCATCGTGCTATCCTACTGCTCGCTAGTTTTGTACGCGTCTGGGAAAGGCTGCGCCGCCCCATGCTGGACCCCTTCTTTGCCGAAACGGAGAGGGACTACTGGGCTTTTGGGGCGGGTAAGAGCGCTGAAACTTGCGTTTGGGCCCAGGCGGCCCTTTCGGAGGTGGCGGGGACCAGGGGTCAGGTTGTCTTGGGAGTTCAGTGGGGCGGGAAGAAGTACTACGAATCCTCCCAGCCCGACCTTCTACGAGATAGAGCGTATAGATGTGGTATCCCTAAGGTCATCGTTAAGACTATGTACAACCTGTGGAGGTGCCCCAGACTTGTTCGTCTAGGTCCAGCTTTTCACACTCTGGCTCTTTTTGCCTCCAGCGGCCTCCCTGCAGGCGACGTTTTCAACGATGCTTTCGTGAAGGTGTATGCGCTCGAGGCCTTCGATGCTTTTACGATCCGACACCCGACGATTCGTTTATCCTCGTGCATCGACGGCGACACGATATTGGGGATGGGGGATAAAGCTAGCCTACTTCGAGCAGTGCCTGCAGCAGCAGCCGATTTCCATCGCATGTTTCAGCAGGAGCTTAAGGCGGATATCTCGGAGTCGAAGGCAGTCACGGTAGCTAGCTCGGCTGCGCTCGCGAAATCTCTGGCTCATCAACTTCGCGTTCGAGGCTTGCCTGAAGGTGCGGTTGCGTCGGCGTCGCTCAACCTTGGCGTCGACTTCGCTCCAGGGCAATCTCGGTCGGCTAACGGGGGGCTTCGTAAGCGACGGCTTCGGTTTCGGCAACTCAAGCTCCGACATCATCGAGTCTTGCGATTTCGACGATGGCTTGCACATGGAGAGCATCGGATGTCTAAGATTCACACTGCTGGCTTGAAGCCAGCCTTGTCCTACGGCAGTGCGGTGCTGGGCATGAGCGATCATGAGCTCCGACGGGCTCGTGCTACGCTCCTCAGCTTCGAGACGCCCTCGCGTCGAGGGGCCTCGCTAGTGGCGAAGTGTGTGCTTCGCGGCGACCCTGTTGCTGATGCTGCTGTGGCGCCCGCGGTACAGTGGGCTGCCACGATCTGGCAGACGGCGGTTGCGCAGGAGCGATCTCTCTTCACTATGCCGCAGCTTGCAGATCTGTTTCAGCAGGTGCACGACAAATGGGATCCTGAGATGCCTTGGAGAAAGACGAAGGGCCCGATCGTTCGAATGATGATGTGCCTCCAGAGGGTCAGCTGGGAGCCCAAGAACTTCTCGGAGTGGACCGACGATCGAGGAGTCGAGCTCTCTCTCCTGTATACCTCCCCTTCCCTCATCAAGCACCTATTGCGTGAGGCCGTCCAGCGACAGCATGAGCGTGATATGGCACGTAGCTTAGGCATGCTGGGTGATAATGCACGCGTATGTGCTGACTTAGTGCGCTGGTGTGTGTGTAGGTCGCAGAAGTATAGTGCACGTCAGAAGTATGCTATAGCTAGCTGTTTCACTAAGGCTGTGTTCACTAGTGATCGTTTGCAATCCCTTGGATATGAGTCTGATGGGAAGTGCCCTCTGTGCGGCGGGGCCGATGGCCTCCATCATAGGCTGTGGTGCTGTCAGGCTCCTGAGGTGGTCGAGGCCAGAGAGAGTACGTGTGGCGCGGAGATAATCGCTGAGGCTGTGCAGGCGGGGCGCGAAGATCTTTTGTGGACCCGCCTGGCTTTTAAGCGTCCGTCGTGCTACCTCCAGCCCCCGACTGACCAGCTGTATCCTGCCGTGTTTTGTCAGGATGGCCGACCCCTTGAGGACCTCTCGGTGTTGGGAGATGTCGTCGACGTCGTCGTGGATGGGTCGTGCGCGCGAAGCCCCATCCGTGAGCTCTCGAGGGCGGCCTATGCTGGTGTGTGCATGCGGTCGGGGTCCGAGGAGATAGTAGCAAGATTCCAGGGGCCTGTCTGGCCATCCCTGCCTCAGACCCCTCAGGCTGCTGAACAGATGGCGATTATTGCTCCCGCTTTCGTTATTCGTCAGCCCGTCCAGGTTCACTCTGATTGCCTCGGCGTTGTTCGGATGCACAATCAGAGTCCGTCTCAGGTTTTGTCGAGCCGCTTGAAGTATGCGGGCCTCCGACGCGGATTCTTTGAGCTGGAAGGGGCTCAGTTCATTGGACAGGCGTTTCACACCCCTGCTCATCGGAGCCTCGAAGTCATCGAAGCTCTGCCGCCGTCGGAGAGGCGGACCGGCCTCGCGAATCGAGCCGGTGACTTGTATGCTAAGTATGCTGTAGTGCTCCATGCTCGGGATAGTCAGGGGGGCCTTGATGATCTCGATCGGCTGATCGACAGGGCCCGAGCTGCGGCGAGAGTCGTGGGAGCGGTCTTGCCCCTTTTCCCTTTCGCTCAATTCCCCGCTCGCCCAAAGGTTCCCCGACCCCGAGAGATCGGCGCTGATCGCTGGCACGCCTGGACGGCGGTCCCAGCCACTCAGGGTAGCTTCATCTGTCACGATTGTCAAGCCCGAGCAGTCAACACGTGTGCGGCCAGGCTTGAGATGAGGGGCTGCCCTGGGAAACGCACGAACTTTCAGTTTTTGAGGGGCCGAGAGAGGATGGGCCATTCTTTGGTGTTCACTCGTCTTTCGAGCGGTCCCTCACTGGTTTTCTGTCGTCGCTGTGGGGCTTATAGTACTGATCGCCTCAGCCGTCGACTCGAGAATGAATGTCCAGGTCGTTTGTTTTCCTCTGCCACGCGTTGTCGTCTTGGCAGAATGATGCGCGGCCTCCACCCCCAGTCCGATCGTGCGCCAGGGGTGGTCCTCCATGTCCTTTCAGATGTGGATCGCCTGCGGCTGCTGCAGACCCAGCAGTCTCGGCGACGTGCTGTTCACCTCCCTGCCCAGCAGGGCGAGTTCCTCCCAGCGCTGGAGGCCATGCGGCGCCGCGTCGCGGCCAGGGAGCTGGGCGAGGAAGGAGGTGGTTTTCGGAGCCCGCTTTTGCTGGGGCCTCCTGGAGGGTCTCGGGGCCCTGCGCCTTGGCACTCGGCACAGGAGGCCCCCCTCCCAGTGGCCTGGGGGACAGGCCCAGGAGGCGCCGCCTCCAGGGCCTGCTCTCGATGCTGAGGAAGAGGCTGCTTCCTTCCTCTTCCGATAAACAAACGTTTGTTCTACCCCCAGGGGAAAAATCCCTCCCTCCCTCCC